TCTGAATGAGATCCTTGCTGGGTAGAGTAATCTTGGTTGTAGGGCTTCCCTGGTGGTGCAGTGGTTAAGAATCCGCCTGCCAATGCAGGGGACACGGGTTTGAGCCCTGGTGCAGGAAGATCCCACATGCCACAGAGCAACGAAGCCCATGCACCACAACTACTGAGCCTGCGCTCTAGAGCCCGTGAGCCACAACTGTTGAGCCCAAGTGCTGCAACTACTGAAGCCTCACACCTAGAGCCTGTGCTCCATGAGAGAAGCCACTGCAATGAGAAGCCTGAGTACCACAATGAAGACTAGCCCCCACTAGCCGCAATTAGAGAAAGCCCGCACTCAGCAACGAAGCCCCAATGCAGCCAAAAATAAATAAATAAATAAATAAGTAAGTAAATATTTTTTAACAATCTTGGTTGTAGGTTTTTCCCTTTCATCACTTGAAATATGTCCTGTCACTCCCTTCTGGCTTGCACAGTTTCTGCTGAAAGATCTGCTGTTAACCTTATGGGGATTCCCTTGTATGTTGTTTGTTGCTTTTCCCTTGCTGCCTTTAATACTCTTTCTTTGTATTTAATTTTTGATAGTTTGATTAATATGTGTCTTGGAGTGTTTCTCCTTGGATTTATCCTGTATGGGACTCTCTGGGCTTCCTGAATGTGACTGACTATTTCCTTTCCCATATTAAGGAAGTTTTCAACTATAATCTGTTCAAATATTTTCTCAGTCCCTTTCTTTTTCTCTTCTTCTTCTGGGACACCTATAAGTCAAATGTTGGTGCATTTAATGTTGTCCCAGAGGTCTCTGAGGCTGTCTTCATTTCTTTTCATTCTTTCTTCTTTATTCTCTACAGTAGTTATTTCCACTATTTTATTTTCCAGGTCACTTATCCATTCTTCTGCCTCAGTTATTCTGCTATTGATTCCTTCTAGAGAATTTTTAATTTCATTTATTGTGTTGTTCATCATTGTTTGTTTGCTCTTTAGTTCTTTTAGGTCCTTGTTAAACGTTTCTTGTATTTTCTCCATTCTATTTCCAAGATTTTGGATCATCTTTACTATCATTCCTCTGAATTCTTTTTCAGGTAGACTGCCTATTTCCTCTTCATTTGTTTGGTCTGGTGGGTTTTTACTTTCCTCCTTCATCTGCTGTGTATTTCTTTGTCTTCTTATTTTGCTTAACTACTGTGTTTGAGGTCTCCTTTTTGCAGGCTGCAGGTTCATAGTTCCCATTGTTTTTGGTGTCTGCCCCCAGTGGGTAAGGTTAGTTCAGTGGGTTGTGTTGGCTTCCTGGTGGAGGGGACTGGGGCCTGTATTCTGGTGGATGAGACTGAATCTTGTCTTTCTGGTGGGCAGGACCACGTCTGGTGGTGTGTTTTGGGGTGTCCATGAACTTATTATGATTTTAGGCAGCCTCTCTGCTAATGGGTGGGGTTGTGTTTCTGTCTTGATAGTTGTTTGGCATGGGGTGTCCAGCACTGGAGCTTGCTGGTCGTTAAGTGGAGCTGGGTCTTAGCATTGAGATGGAGATCTCTGGGAGAGCTCTCACTGATTGATATTACGTGGAGCCGGGAGGTCTTTGGTGGTCCAATGTCCTGAACTCGGCTCTCCCACCTCAGAGGCTCAGGCCTGACACCTGGCCGGAGCACCAAGACCCTGCCAGCCACATGGCTCCAAAGGGACATATGACGGGTCCAAGATTCCTGAACCAAGGCATCTCAGGGTCTAGGAGAGAGAGGCAGAGAGATGAGGAACAATCCTGGCTCTGTGTGGAAGGGACTCCATCCCAGAAGCCCCAGAGGAAGGAACTGCCTCTAGTTAGCTTGTCACTGTATACACAATGCCTGGCACACTGTGCTTGGTAAGAATTCAGTGAATGAATGAACGAATCTCATTTAACATTTATACTAAATTAAAAGTCATTTATCCACTACTGTTATAATAATATGGTTTTCTGTTTTTGTCTCTATATTTACCTTTACCAATGACTTTTATGCTTTCATGTTGCTGTTTAACATCTTTTATTTTCAACTTGAAGAACTCTTTTTAGCATTTCTTATAAAGTAGGTCTAATAGTGACGAATTCTCTTAGCTTTTGTTTGTTTTAGAAAGTCTTTATCTCCCCCTCACTTCTGAAGGACAGGTTTGCGGTGTATATATTCTTGGTTGGAAGTTTTCTTCTGTCAGAACTTTGAATATATCATCCCACTCTCTTCTGGCATTCAATGTTTCTTAAGAAAAAGCCACTGATAGTCTTATTGGGGGTTCTCTTTTATGTTACAAGTTGCTTTTCTCTTGCTGCTTTCAAAGTTATCCTTTTTATCTTTAACTTTTGACAATTTGATTATAATGTGTCTAAATGTAAGTATCTTCTGATTCAGCTTACTTGGTATGTTTTGGACTTCCTAGATCTGGATGTTCATTTTGAGGTTTGAAGAGGTTTCGGCCATTACTTCTTGGCATAAGCTTTCTGCACCTTTTTCTTTTTTCCTTCTGGAACTTCCATAATGCATACATTGGTTTACTTTATGGTGTGCCATCAGTTTTCACTCTTTTTCATTCTTTTTTCTTTTTTCTCTTTTTACTGGATGATTTCCAGTGACCTGTCTTCCAGTTTATTGGTCTTTTCTTCTGCTTGATCTAGTCTGTTGTTGAACCCTTCTATTGAATTTTTCAGTTAACTTGTTGTATTCTTCAGTTCTATGATTTCTTTTTGGTACTTTTTAGTATTTTCTATCTCTGTTGAAAACCTCCCTTTGTTCACACATTGCTTTCGTGACCTAAGAAAACATCATTAAGGCCATTATTTTGAATTCTCTTTTGGGTAAATCATGTAGCTCCACTTCATTAAGAAAAGATTTCTAGAGATTAATCTTGTCCTTTAATTTTGAACATATTCCCCTGTTTCTTCTTTTTTCTTGACTCTGTGTTGGTTTCTGCACATTATATAAAACAGCCACTTCTTCCAGTTTTCACAGACTGACCTCATGTAGGAGATGAGCTCACTAATCAGTTCAGCCAGAGATTCTGGGTACCTCTCAAAGCTTTGTGCTCATTTTAGATGCTGTCTTTGTTCTTAGTGTTCCCCAGAAGACTATCGTAAGCCAAGTCCCATCAGTGCCCTGATTCAGGCAAGATAGAAGCCAGTGCCTCAAGTTGCAGCCAGAAAAGTTGAAGCACTAGATGTGTGTCCCAATTCCTCCTCTCTTAGGGAGAAGTTGAGAGATGGAGTTTATCACCCACTTGCTCTTGACAAATACCTGCTTACTAGTTCAGACTGTGTGCTCCTTCAAACTGTTGCTTTGCTCTCTGTTGCCCTCCAGAACCTAGTGAATGCCAGGCCCTGTCAGCTCTCAGAGAAGGATGGGTTAGAAGTCAGTCCCTCTGGTAGCAACTGGAATGTTTTGGGAGCTAGATGTGCATTCCAACTCCTTTTAGGGAGAATCGGAGACTTGGCTTTATAACTGGAGTGGGTCAGGGGAAGAGTAACAGGAGGTATCCACATGCCCATTCAAACTCCCAAGGGACTAATGATTGCTTTCTCCATCAGCTCCCTGGACAGACTCTCAGACAGCAGGTACGAAAGTTAGGGCACTAGATGTGCCCTAACTCTTCTCTTCTTCCAGAGAGAAGCTGGGAACTGACTTTATTGTCTGCTTGCTCTCTACTGAGCCAAAAGGAAGAACCACTGGAAGTGCTCTGGGCCCAGGAGACTAGTGAATGCTGGGCTTCATCAGCTCTCAGAGATAGGCAAGTTAGAAGCCAGTCTCTTGGGTAGCAGCCATAATTGATGGGGTACTAGATGTGTGGTCCAAACCTTTTGCTCCTTAGGGCAAAGCTAGGATTTGAGGGTACCCTCCTGACTGTATGGTGCTGTGCTAGGGGTGAAGTTTATGGCAAGGCTGTGTCTCAACTTTTCCTACCCATTTCAATGTGGTTATTTTCTCAGTCACCCAATGTGCAGGAGTCTCTCAACTAGTTTCTAGATTTTTCTCAGAGGGAATTGATCCACATGTAGCTGTTTGTTTGTTGCATCCACAGGTGGAGGGAGAGTCTGGAGCCTCCTGTTCTGTCCTCTTGGTCTTTAAGTCCCTTTTTGATAAATTCTAATACCTGAATCACTTGTCAGTCTTTTTCTCGTATCTATTTTTTCTCTTGGTTTTTTTTTTGGTAGTTTGTCCTGATTTTTATCATATCTCTGAATTTTCTTATTATACCATGGATGGCAAATTATAGAGGCTTTGGAAGGTGTTACATTCCTCCAAAGAGGATTATACTTTGTTTTGTCAGGTAGATAGAGTACCAGTGATAACCCTGATTTTTTTTTTGAAGATTGGTTTTATGCTTTTCTAGGGATAATATCTTTAAATTTTGCCTTTACTATTAGGTCATGGCTCTTCTTGAATCTCAGCTTAAAGTCTGGGGTGTTTACCCCAGGCCCTCCACTTTGAAGGGACTTGAATTCCAGTCTAAGTCCGCCATCACCATGAGGTTGATGAAATTCAGGTTCAGCTCTTTAGCCTCCCAGTTGATACTTTCTTCTGGGTTTCCAGCATCTCACCCTGTATTTGCCAGTGAATTGAAAAAAAATTGTATGTAGATTTTGGCTGCTTCTCTGCAGTTTCATCCTCTCTGAGATTTTCCCACTCAAATTCCAGATCCTCTGGTAGCCGTGAATTCCAACCTCTTTTAATTCAGCCTAGTAAAACTGATGTTTTTGCTTGGGCTCTATTCACCCATGACATGATATGGAAAATATCCTTAGACAAAAAGCTGGGATGATTGTGGCAGTACTTCCTGTGCTTCCTCTCCATCAAAGATTGTAACCCTTTAAGTCCTGCTTGTAATGGTTGCTCTCCAATTCTTTAAATTTCTGTTTTATATATTTTATACAACTTTTATAGTTGTTTTTGGTGGGAGGGTTGGTCTGGTACAAGCTACTTTGCCATGGTTGGAATTGGAAGCTTCCAGTGTTTAAAATTTTATTATAATTATTTTCATATCTAGTGCCATCAGAAAAGGTGACATATGTTCCAGAAATCCTCTATGAGAAACTGTTCTCACAACACAAAGGACTTGCACAGTTAATACATAATGAAATAGGCTCCGTTCGTCAAGGTACATTGATCTTTTCTAAGAGCTGGTCTTTGGATCTGGGCTTGCAAGAGAACCAGAAAGTCATCTGTGATGCACTTCTAATTGCCCAGGACCGTCCACCAGTCTTATACACCTTCCTCAGGGAACTGAATAAGGAATTAAAAGGTTATTCTATACAAACTGCCTTAACTTTAAAGAAGAAACTGGTAAAAATTGGTGGTTACAGTGGGAAAGTGTGTGTCATGACAAAGATCTATTGGAGTGAAGAATCTTCTACATTGACTGAAGGCAATATAAGCCTTCTTCATGACTCAAGCTTATCTGCAATTTACCCTAAGTCCTACACTCTTATAACCACTCAAACAATGAGTGACTTGAAGAAGGCCCTTTTTATAGTCTTGAAGAGGCTCAGAACTTTGAATGACCAATTTGACTCTGAGATTTCTCAACACCTCTCAGATAATCAGTATGGATTACTTTCAGAGGAATGAAAAAAGGATGTTTAAATATTGTCTAAGGCTCACCTGAACCATGGAAAGTAGACCAAGGTACAAAGATGTTTTTCATTATATAGTCAATGGTGTTCTCAAATTCTGGAAAATATGCCTCTGAAAAGCTTTGCAAGGAAGACAACATGATGGGACCTTGGAAAATCAAATTTAGTCTTCATTTATTTCTTCCTAAATGGTCTTCATAGGTGTTGCTTAAGAGTTATTAAGAAAATAAATTTGTTAATTATGCTGTGCACAGTTTGTTATTTACTCCATGCATAGTTTATGGATAAATTGCCTTCCACTTTTAAGTTGGGAAAAATGGCAATACTTTTATTTTTAATAACAACAACAACGGAAATTCCCAGGATATACCCAGAAAACCTTTATAACTTAGAAAAGATTATGATTGATGACATTCAGAGTATTTATAATGGAAATGAAGAAGAGGCAAAATTTATTACCCATCCTGCAAAATTCTCTGCATTTTCTTGGATGACTTTTACACTATTCACTTGGAGGAGTTAGGGCTTGTTGAATTGCTCAGCTGGTACCCTTAAGAACTCAGCAGAATCGTCATTTTAACATTCGGAATTGAAGGTGATACAGAGTTTTCCAGACAGGCAAAAGATAAAGGAGTTCATCACCACTAGACTGGTGGTACAAGAAATGTGAAAGGGTCTTGTTTAAGCTGAAATGAAAGGGTGCTAATTAGTACAGATGGTCTCTGTCTTAAGATGGTTCGACTTAGGGTTTTTTGACTTTATGATGGTGCAAAAGTGATTCGCATTCAGTAGAAACCATACTTCAAATTTTGAATTTTGATCTTTTCCTAAGCTAGTCACATGCGATATGATATTCTCTTATGATGCTGGGCAGTGGCAGTGAGCCACAACTCCCCATCAGCCATGCGATCATGAGGGTTAAACAACCGATACTCTATAGTATATTGTGTTGCTTCCTGCTTCTGATGAGAAGAACAGGAAGGCAATTACTCTTGAGTTGAAACTCAAGATAATTGCCCTGCATGAAAGTAGAAAGCCAGTAATGGCCATCACATGTGAGTTAGGACTTTTGCAATCGATGATCTCGACCATCTTAAAGGATAAGCGAATCAGTGATGCAATGAAATTGCCAGCATCAGTTACATCCACTGTCTTCATGAAGAAATTAGCTGGGCTAATTGATGATATGAAAAAATTTATCGACACTAGAGTGGAATACCAGATACAGAAGTGCATACCACTTAGCCTACTGAGGATCTAGGCTAAGGCAATAAGTTTTTTCCATACACTGAAAGAGCATGCTGGGACTTCCCTGGTGGCGCAGTGGTTAAGACTCCGTGCTTCCAATGCAGGGCCCCCCCATTTGATCCCTGGTCAGGGAACTAGATCCCACATGCATGTTGCAACTAAGAGTTCGCATGCCACAACTAAGGAGCCAGTGAGCTGCAACTAAGGAGCCTGAACCACAACTAAGGAGCTTGCCTGCCACTACTAAGACCCAGCACAACCAAATAAAAATAAACAAATAAATATTTTTTAAAACTTGTAAAAACTACAAAAGAGCATGCTGATGATCTTACATATACGCAAATGTTTATAGCGAGGTGTGGGTGATTCCAACGTTTCAAAAGGCATCGTAATTTTCATAACATGAACGTCAGTGGTGAGGCATCAGGTTGCTGATACTAAAGGTACCACAGCGTTTAAGGAAGAACTGCATAGGATAATTGTGGATGAGAAATATTTGCCAGAACACGTATGTAAGGTCAATGAAAGTAGTTTGTTCTGAAAGCGTATGCCAGAGCATACATACATTCATCAGAAGTCCGAGACAATGCCAGGATTCAAGGCATTCAAAGACTATATAATGCCACTTCGGGGTAGAAATGTTGCAAGGTTCAAATTAGAGCTTTTCTTAATCTACCACTTGGAGAACCCTAGAGCATTCAGGAATATGAGAAAGCATATACTTCCCATTTATTGTTGCCATAACAGGAAAGCCTGGATGACATTAGCATTGTTTGAAAACAGGTTTTTGAACAGTTTTATTGTGCACGCAAGAGAATGTTGTAGGCAAAACATTCAATTCAAGATTCTTCTGATCTTAGACAATGCTCCAAGGCATCCATGTCATATCACTGACATGATGTAAAGGTTGTGTATTTGCTGCTGATCACAACGGTACTCATATAGTCAATGGACCAAGGTGCAATAGCTACATTCAGAGCACCCTATTTATGCCAAATGTTTGCATACGCTTTTGAACTGGCTGAATCTGGCCAAATGCTCTGAGAGATCTGGAAAAGTTTTCACATTCTAAATGCTATCCAGAGCATTGCTGTAGCATGGAAAGAAGTCACACAGCAATGCGTGAAGACATATGTGAACACATTCAAAAGATTCTGCTGTTGATGAAATAGTAAGTAACAAGATACTAGTGCTTGAGAAACAGCTAGAGTTGGACGTTGATGAAGAGGATATTCATGAGCTTGTTGGCCTCAAGGCTGAAGAGCTTTCCAATGAGGAGCTGATCAAACTGGAGGAAAAAAAGTTTAAAAGTTGGAGGACTTCCCTGGTAGTCCAGTGGTTAAGACTTCACCTTCCAAAGTAGGGGGTGTGGGCTCGATCCCTGGCTGGGGAGTTAAGATCCCACATGCCTCGCAGCCAAAAAAACCAAAACATAAAACAGAAGCAATATTGCAACAAATTCAATAAAGACTTAAAAAAAAAAAGTAAAGAAGTTGAGGCAGAGGAAGAAGAAGTTATACCCAAGGCACCAAGAAAGTTCATAGCAAAGAAACTGGCAGAAACATTTACTACTATGAGCAGGCGCGTATGGATATTAGAAGAGATGGACATCAATTACAAGAGGTTCTCAAGAGCTAACAGGCAGATACAGGATACTCTTATTTGCTGTAGAGAAATATGTAATGAAAAGAAGAAACAAACTGTACAGTCAAAACTTGAAAGCTTCCTGAATAACACTATGCCTGCTAAACCATTAGCAAGTATAGATGCCCCAATGCCTTCTACCAGCTATTCTCAAGCCTCATCAGGAGAGAAATTGATGACCCTGTCTCTGTAGCCTCCATATCATCCAGCAATTCATTTTAGTTCAATGCTTCAAACATTCTTCAGGCCTACTGTGCTTTCAGCTCTGTACCTTAATGGTGAGTATCCATATGACCATTCTGGTTTTCACTTTCAGTACAGTGGTCAATAAATTATATGAGATATTCAACATTTTAATATAAAAGTAAGCTTTGTGTTAGGTGACTTTGCCTAACTGTAGGCTAATGTAAGTGTTCTGGCTCATTTAAGGTAGGCTAGGCTGAGCTATGATGTTCAGTAGGTTACTTGTATTACATGCAGTTTTGACTTAAAATATTTTCAGCTTAACGATGAGTTTATTGGGACATAAATCCATCATAAGTCAAGGAAGATCTGTAATAGGAAAACATGAAAGTATAAATCTCACTGGTAAAAGTAAATATATAGTAAAATTCAGGATAATCTGTTATAAAGGTGGTGGTTAATCACTTGTAAAGCTAGTATGAAGGTTAAAAGACAAAAGTGGTAAAAAATAACTATAACTACAATAATTTGTTAAGGGATACACAGGATAAAAAGATGCAAATTGTGACTTCAAAAACAACATAGGTGTAGGGGAGAGTAAAAATCTAGAGCTTTAGAATGTGTTCAAACTTAAGTTGTTATCAATGTAGAATAGACCATTATAACTTGTTACAGGTAAGCTTCACAGTAACCACAAAGCAAAAACCTATAGTAGATACACAAAAGATAAAGGGATAAGAATCTAAGCATACTACTACAGAAAATCATCAAATCACAAAGCAAGTGAGTGAGAGAAGAAAAAAGAAACAGAGGAACTACAAAACAGCAGGAAACAATGAACAAAATAGTACTAAATGCAAACCCATCAATAATTATTTTAAAATTTTTTGTATGTATGTAAGTACAGTTGATTTCATTTAAGTTTCAGGTATACAGTGCAGTGATTCACGGGTTTTTTTTGTTTTTTGTTTTTGGCCATGCCACACGGCATGTGGCATCTTAGTTACCGGACCAAAGATGGAACCCGTGACCTCTGCAGTGGAAGCGCAGAGTCTTAACCACTGGACCACCAGGGAAGTCCCAGACGTCTGTTTTTCAAAACCTACAAAGACCAGGGGAAAACACGAGTGCCATCCCCCACTACCAGAAATTATGCAGTCGAGTTTCCCACATTTGGGGAAATCGCAGGGGTCAGCACATCCAGAGTGCAATAGATAAGCCTTACCCTGGGAAAACCACCTTCGTGATCATGCTATCTCCCCTGCCAGGTAAGTATGTGATTCACAATTTTTAAAGGTTATACTTCATTTATAGTTATTCTAAAATATTGGCTATATTCCTGCGTTGTACAGTATATCCTTGTAGCCTATTTATTTTATACATAGTAGTTTGTACCTCTTAATCCCCTACGCTTATTTTTCCCCTTCCCACTTCCTTCTCCCTACTGGTAACCACTAGTTTGTTCTCTGTATCTGTGAGTCTGTTTCTTTTTGGTTATACTCACTAGTTTGTTTTATATTTTAGGTTCTACATATAAGTGATATCGTACAGTATTTGTCTTTCTCTGTCTGACTTATTTCACTAAGCATAATACCCTCTAAGTTGATCCATGTTGCTGCAAAAGGCAAAATTTCATTCTTTTTATGGCTAAGTAGTATTCCATTGTATATATATATACCACATCTTCTTTATCCATTCATTGTTGATGGACACTTAGGTTGCTTCTATATCTTGGCAATTATAAATAATGCTGCTATGAACATTGGGATGCATATGTCTTTCCAAATTAGTGTTTTCATTTTTTGGATATATACCCAAGAGTGGACTTGCTGGGTGATATTGTAGTTCTCTTTTTATTTTTTTGAGAAAGCTCCATACTGTTTTCCACACCCTTACCAACATTTTTTTTTCTTTTTTTTTTTGCAGTACGCGGGCCTCTCACTGTTGTGGCCTCTCCCATTGCGGAGCACAGGCTCCGGATGCGCAGGCTCAGCGGCCATGGCTCACGGGTCCAGCCGCTCCGCGGCATGTGGGATCTTCCCGGACTGGGGCACGAACCCGTGTGCCCTGCATCGACAGGCGGACTCTCAACCACTGCACCACCAGGGAAGCTCAACATTTTTTAAAAAATTTATTTATTTTGGGTTGCGTTGGGTCTTTGTTGCTGTGCGCGGGCTTTCTCTAGTTGCGGTGAGCGGGGGCTACTCTTAATTGCGGCGTGCGGGCTTCTCATTGCGGTGGCTTCTCGTGTTGCAGAGCACAGGCTCTAGGCGCCCAGGCTTCAGGAGTTGTGGCTCGTGGGCTCTGGAGCACAGGCTCAGTAGTTGTGGCACACGGGTTTAGTAGCTCCACGGCCTGTGGGATCTTCCCGGACCAGGGCTCGAACCCGTGTCCCCTGCATTGGCAGGTGGATTCTTAACTACTGCGCCACCAGGGAAGCCCCACATTTTTTATTTGTGTTCTTTTTGATAGTAGCCATTCTGACTGTATGAGGTGATAATATCTCATTTGCATTTTAATTTGCAGTTCTCTGATGGTTAACAATGTTGAACATCTTTTCATGTGCCTGTTGGCCATCTGTATGACTTCTTTGGGAAAATGTCTATTCAGGTCGTCTGCCCATTTTTAAATCAGGTTGCTTGGTTTTTTGATGTTAAGTTGTATGAGCTATTTTAGTATTTTGGATACTAACCCCTTATCAGTCGTATCATTTGCAAATCTTTTCTCCTATTCAGTAGGTTGTCTTTTCATTTTGTCAATGGTTTCCTTTGCTGTGCAAAAGCTTTTAAGTTTCACTAGGTCCCATTTGTTTAATTTTGCTTTCATTTCCTTTGCTTTAGGAGACAGGTCCAAAAAAATATATTGCTACGACTTATGTCAAAGAGTGTTCTGCCTATGTTTTCTTCTAGGAGTTTTATGGTTTCTAGTCTTAAATTTAGGTCTTTAATCCATTTTGAGTTTATTTTTGTAAATGGTGATAGAGAATGTTCTAATTTCATTCTTTTATATGTAGCTGTTTAGTTTTCCCAGCACCATTTATTGAAGAGATAGTCTTTTCTCCATTTTATATTCTTTTTTAAAAATACATTTATTAATTTATTTTTTTGGCTGCATTGGGTCTTAGTTGCAGCACATGGGATCTTTGTTGTGGCACAGGTTCTTTGTTGTGGTGCGTGGGCTTCTCTAGTTGTGGTGCACGGGTTTTCTCTTCTCTAGTTGTGGCACGCGGGCTCCAGGGCACGTGGGCTCTGTAGTTTGCCGCACACAGGCTCTCTTGTTG